ATCATTACTACGTATATTACTCCAACAATATTTGATTTTTTTTCTTCATCATTATTATTTGTGAAATAAAAATTACTCCATATTAATTCAACAACAACTTTTTTATATCCATATTATAAATTCAAAATATACTTTTAATAATTCAAAGTTAGAAATTCAAAATTAAAATTTCCATAATTCGAAATTTAAAATTACTCCATATTATATCCATAAAAAAATTCAAAAAAAAAATTGACCAGGTTAGTCACGGATAAATCCGTGACTAATGCCGTGACTAAATTCAAATTTTGAATTTAGTCACGGATTTAGTCACGGATTTATCCGTGACTAACCCGGTCAATGGCGGCCCTGACACCGCGTGGCTGGATTCGGGGATTACGAAGGGTTTAGTCACGGATATTTCCGTGACTAAATCCGTGACTAATCCCTTATATAAAATAAACCCTTGGCGAATTTTTCATTCCAAACACTCTCCCAACCCTAAAACTCTACCTCTATCTCTACTTCTTCTCTCTGTCCGCCGAACCCTTTGACCTCCACCGCCGCTTTCACCGTCCGTCGCCACCGTCCGTCGCCGGTCTCCGTTAGCTACCTCCGTCGAAGACTCTTCGCCGTCCTCTTCATCAAGGTTATGTGTTCTAAATTTCAATTACTTTTCATTCTTATTTTTAGTATTTGATTTTCATTCCAAAAATGCATGTTATTATTAAAGTGCATGCTCTTTTGTTGAAATACACTCAAATGCATGATTATATACATGATTTAGTTTATATGCTCAATTTGATTTATGAATGATTCTTTAGTTTTGTATACATGTTTTGTGTAGTAATATGATTTAATATGTTTTAGTTTATATTTTTCTTTAATATTCAAAATATAATTTTTGAAATACATGTTTAATATTAAATTTCGAAATACGATTTAGTTTATACTTTTCTTTAGTTGGTATACATGTTTAATATAATTTAGTTTATTACATGTTTTATATGTTCAATAATTTTAATATGTATGCCAAAATATGATTTAATTTTAGGTTAAACAACATGCATGATTATTCAAACCTTTTTTATTTTTTTTATTTCGGCCTTATGTGTTTCTTTTATTCTTGAATTATGTTAGGTTAGTTTGGACTAATTTTTAGACTTAGAATGAAGCATGCTAAATAGAAATATTTGGACATTGTTAGGATTATTGTTTTTTATCATCTATCAAAATTATTATTCCCGAATTATTTAAAAAAATACCCCCTCATGTCAAACTTCCAAAAAAGTTTAACATGTTAATTATAAAATATTAATTTAGACATTAAAAACAGTTTTCTGAAATAAAATATAAAACATAGATTATAAAAAAACAGTTTAATAAAAAAAAGTTTTTGTTAAACTGCTTAATAAAAAACGGGTTTTTATTAAAAAGTGTTTAATAAACTGTTTTTTATTAAAAAGAGTGTAATAAACAGTTTTTTATTAAACAGTTTAAAAAAGTGTTTATTAAAGACATTAAAAAACAGTTTTTAAAAAGTTTAAACTGTTTTTTTATTAGAAAGTGTTTAAACAGTTTAAAAAAAGTTTTAAAAATGTTTAAACTGTGTTTTATTAAAAACTGTTTTTATTAAACAGTTTTTATTAAACAGTTTTAAAAAAGTTTAAACAGTTTTAAAATAGTTTTTCTACGAACAGTTCAATTGAAATATTTTTAACAACAATTTTTTTAAGGAAAATTAAAATAAGTTTTAATTTTGGTTTTTAAAAAATAGATTTTTTTTTTTAAAAAACAAAACATTTAGTCACGGATCTGAGCCGTGACAAATATTTTAGTCCGGAATTATTTGTTAAATTTAAAATTTATTGTTTTAAAAAAAAAAATTAGTCACGGATTCATGACCGTGACTAATACGAAATTTCAAAACATTGAAAAAAGGAAACGCGGTTTTTTGAAAATTTCAAAAATTTGAAAACTTAGTCACGGATATTTCCGTGACTAATATGGCCGATTTTTTTTTAAAAAAAAATACTTAGTCACGGACGTGTCCGTGACTAATATAAAAAAAATTTAAAAAAATGTAGTCACGGATCTTAGCCGTGACTAAAGTGCCGGAGCAGCTATTCCGGTGACAGATTAGTCACGGATCTGGTCCGTGACTAATCCGTGACTACATTTAGTCACGGACAATTTGACGTGACTAAATTTAGTCACGCCCAAACAGTCACGGAATTAGTCACGGACAGAATCCGTGACTAAATGAGTTAGTCACGGATTTTTTACACTGTGGTCCGTGACTAAATCCGTGACTACAGCCGAATTTTTTTGTAGTGAAAACTCCAATAGCGGAGGGTTGTCATAGTTTATACTCCCTCTATTCTCTATTAGATGTCCCTATAGGGTTTGACACAACAAGTTTTAAGAGAAAGATATTAGGGGTAGTGGAAAAGGTATAGTGGGTTGTGTGTAAAGGAAAAAATAGGAAAGAGAATGAGGGTAAATGAGTATATTGATTGAAAAACTTACCAAAAATGGAAAGGGAAACAATTAATAGAGATCATCCCAAAAAGGAAAGAGTGCCAAGTATTAGAGAACGGAGGGAGTATTATGTTTCACTTAAATAATAATAATAATAATAATAATAATAATAATAATAATCCAATAAGAAAATATTGTGACCAGTGACTCGGTGAGCTGGACACATAGGGGCCGGGGGCGAGGGGTGACTTCTGTGAAGCCATGAGCTGTGTGACTGTGTCAGTGTGTGAGGTAGTGAACATGAACTTGAATCCTTGGAATTGATAGAAAAGGAAACCCCAATTTAATTCGAGGATGATTTAACTTAAAATTGAGGTCTAGAAAATGGAGAATGGAACCTAAAAAGTGCATAACTTTTTGTTTTGTACTACGTATGATGTACTTGGGAATTTTGTGCAGGAGGCTATGAGGCTATAATCATTACTAATATGCTTCTCAAGTATCAAGATTAAGAGCGAGATTGACATTTTCGGTCATCCCTCATCTTTACTCTCAAATGATATCGCGCGATCCAGTGTAATGTGATCTAATTTCTACGGAGTATTTTCGAACCTCATTTTTATAAATAGATTTTCAAAGATAGTTGGTACATACGTAGTATCTCATTATATTAATCCTTTCAAAAAAAACTCATTATATTATCTACACTACGTTTAAAAACCGGCATGCCTCTACTGAATTGACCAGGATACTAGCGTTAATTAGTAAACAAAACCGGTTGGATTATTGATGGAATTGAAAACACAAAAATAGATGAAAAGTGGAAAACCAGGATATTAGCGTTAGTATAAAAAACCAATTTTGGGTTGTTTTTTAAGAAGTTTATATATTTTTATTTAAGCATATTTAGTCTTATGCTACGTATAATAATGTATTCAATTATTTAAGAATCATGACGTTGAGCGTTTAAAAAAAAGCATCATGACGTTGAGTCAATGGTAGCTTTAGTAACAATGTAGTACAGTTAACAAATTTGATATCAGTAATTTTTTACAAAAATCCCTCTTAATAATATAATATTGTAATGCATGCCAAATCATGCTGTTTAACTTCCTCGGTGACCTTTGTAATCGCTTAGTGGCAAGCCGCATTTCTAAATTTTCAATATGCATTTATCGGTCACAATGAGATACAAATGCAGGAATGAGGTTCGCATGGTTCACGAAAGAAAGCAAGAAGTAGAGTGCTTGGACCTTTGAATATTTCCACTTTGATTCATACTTGCGTTTGGTGAATTGGTGTTTGTATTTTATATTTAGTAAAGTACGTAGCATGAAATATGTATACAAATTGTTGGGTTGTTCATTCTTTTTCATGTTAGGTAGATATCATAACTATGCCATACTATATATACCAACCGTTACTACATTTTTGAAGCACTATTAATTAAAACAATAAATCTATGTATATCAATCATCTGTGTTTATATATTACGGAGTATTTGGAATGCAATGTGATATAATATCTCCCTCCCAAATTGATTTGCAAAATTGACTTTTGTTAGTTGGTCAAACAATTTCATCTTATTCACTTAATTAGGATACCAATTTTTATTCTAATTTGGAGTTTTAATGTAATTTTTCAATATGTAAATTTTAATTATTCAAAATTGAATTAAATATCAATAGGCTAAGAAGATTTAACTTTAACATTACTTCACATAAAATGTTGACTTTGTAAATCAATTTGGGGCGGATGGAGTATATATATCCTTCAGTATAAAGATGAAGTAATATTATTTTAAACACAAAATTGGTTGTATCAGCAGCATAATGTATCACGAGTATGATTTAATTCCACTTTAATGCATAATAACAGGCGCCCGTTTGGTAACACTCAAATTGGTTGAATTATAATGATTTATGTTGTTGAAATTTATAAAGTTCTGATTGAAGTGGTTGAATTGACTGATCCTACTTATTTATGAAATAATTGTATTTAAAATGTTTTTTATTAATAAAATAAAGAAAAAATTATGTGAAAATAGCTAAAGTGATCCATCCTCTACAGTAACTTCAGCTAATATAGCCAGAAAAATAAATCCTGATTTACTTTTTTTATTATTACACAATTCAGCGTGCGAAATCAAAAGATGTATTTTTGGCAAAAAAAAGTTGACTGGTAAGTCCGATAAATGGAAAAAAGGGTCACCAAATGGGCTCAACATATTGCCTTTTAAAGGTCTATAATATTGGTAGTGAACTATGTCTAAATAAAAATAGCTAAGGTTGGATATATATTATTGTTATGTTATATACAAAATGTTTTATATGAATTGATCGTGCATTTTTTATATATGAATAATTGGTGATATTATTTATGTTTCTTTAATATTTTTAAAATTTATCATCATTTATTCAATTAAATTTTATATCAATTGTATATAAATTCAATTGCCGTGCATCGCACGGGTATAATACTAATTCCAACTTAAAATTGAACTGTGTTTGTGTTTGAAGCTCTTTAAGCTAGGTGGTTCGTTAAGCTCTTTAAAAAGGCCGGATCTTTAATTTTCATGTGTATATGTGTAACATTACTAACATAGGTATATCAGTTGATGCTGGCCGTTACGCCGGAATCTTTAAAACCTCGCCGGCGATTAATCGTTCCCCACATTTAACCGTTTCATCCCTGTCACACATAAACTCACAATAGATGTGGTATAGATCGGCTTCTTTCATTCTCGACAAGCAGAAGAACGACGACGTTGCGAAGCCTGAGAGCCGCCAAGCATCACATCTCGCACCAGCTCCGGCGTCCTCCATGGACGGAACCCTACAAAACCCTAACCTTAACCCCAATAACATATCGGCTTATTATCAGACTAGAGCGGCTCACCACGGGGTCGTCACTAGTGACTGGCTCGCTCAGGCGCTAGACGCTGTCGCAGGTGACCGGGACGATGTTTCTACCGGGAGCTCTTCGAACAATTCCGGGGAGTCGGGTAAGACATTCAGCGTGATTGATGAGTTCAATAATTGGCGTAAGCAGCCAAACTTAGCTGAGGCTGTGGCCGCTATCAGGGCATTAGCCTCTGTTATTCGGTCTAGTGAGGCTACTACGATGATGGAACTTGAAATTGAGCTGAAGAAAGCCTCCGATTCTTTAAAAGTATGACATTTCTTATTTCGTTTACGCGATTTACTTGTTTTGACTTTTAAATTCTAATTTCATGACATGGTAGTAACTGAAGTTTATGTGCTCTTAGTATAGGACATGAATGTTATCGTACCATCATCATCTCAGTTATAAGCTTCAATAAACAAGATGGCATGTTTTAACCAAATGCTTTTCAAAATTGAAGTTTGAAAGTAACATAGAATATATTTCACCAGCAATCAAATCAGTTTTCTAAATGTAATTGTACTCAATTTAGTGTTTTCGTTGGAGAAATGATTGAACTAACATGCTGTTTGGTTTCAGAGCATGTCAAGCTAGCTAATATATTCCCAATATATGTGTTTAATCCAGTCATGGGACACAACTTCTATCTCATTGATGGCGGGCTGTGATCTGTTCATGCGCTATGTTACAAGAACCTCAGCATTGGAATATGAAGACTTCAATTCAGCTAAGGGTCGTCTTCTTGAGCGTGCAGAGAAATTTGGAGAGATATCTTATAAGGTAAACATGGTCAATACTCAATAGCAAACACAGTAAAGTATGTGTACCATATGTGCAAGTGCATGAAGAACATGCTTCGAATGCAGGCTCGCAAGATAATAGCTGTGCTTAGTCAAGATTTTGTTTTTGATGGGTGTACCATTTTGGTGCATGGCTTTTCTCGAGTAGTGTTTGAGGTTCTGAAAACAGCAGCTCAAAACAGGAAGCTTTTTCGAGTTCTCTGCACTGGTAAGTATAAGGGTTCTCCAATACTTTTCACTGGACTAACCATGACTCTTGCAAGAGTGAATTCCGGTTTTGTCCATCTACTATACTATACTACGTATTATTCAATTCGATCGTCAACTTAATGCTGCACCGAACTTAGTTAGTCCTTGACTATGAGATTGGGACTCGACCTTGTCAGCATATGCATTCACTGAATATAGGCCCAATTGACTCTAAATTACGTACTCTAGTCTCGCATTGATTTCATAAGAAAGCTGAGGATCAAATTGAGCAAGTATATATAGTCTAGCCATCTAGGAACCAAATTAGCCATTTTCCCTTTGCAAAATATATTAATTAACCTATTGCTTGTTTCACAAAGGTTGGGGTTGGTTTGTTGGCCAAATCACACCATTAAGTGTGCCACTGTGCCTTCATGGGATCACAGTTTCAGTCTTGTGTACCAAGTCCCACCTTTTATTGAATATGTAAAGATGTAGGCTGATTTGGTCACACAATACCCTGCAAGAGTGGGGAAAAAATTGTGTGACTTGATGTTACCTTGTTTCTTTCACAAATTTAGCAATGAAGAGAATCCAAATCCTGGCAATTAGGGGATACCTGAAAAGAAAAGAAATGATTCCTTTGTATTTTTCTGTTTTGTGTCACAAGTATAAATTCACAATTTTAGGTTAGGTAATAAAGGTAAAACAACTCTATGCTTGTGGTTCAGTGAAAACCTTCATACTTACCCTTATGTATGATTTACATGATTTGGAAATGCAGAGGGGAGGCCTGACCGGAGCGGACTAAGATTAGCAAATGAGCTAGCCAAGCTAGATGTTCCTGTGAAGCTCTTAATAGACTCTGCAGTGGCATATAGCATGGATGAGGTTGATATGGTGTTTGTAGGAGCAGATGGAGTGGTTGAAAGTGGAGGTATAATTAACTTGATGGGGACCTATCAAATTGCTTTGGTAGCAAAGAGCATGAATAAACCAGTTTATGTTGCTGCTGAAAGTTATAAGGTACACATAGAGAAACACAGCTTCTTTAGGATATATTTGTATTCTGGGGAAGTGTTAAGAGGAAATAAATATTGAGAAAGTTATTTTCTTGTGTTTGATTTCACCGTGGAAAACACAAGGAAAATGAAATGTGATTAGTGTTAAAAAATTCTACATATGTTTTGATATCTTAGTCTTTATACTAAGTATCACAATTCACACACATGAATGGATATCCCATCTATCCCAAAATAAATTTCAGTTACTATTCCTATTGTCAACTAAACTTCCTTTTAATTTCGAAATTTACATACTTAACTTATTTCATATTCAAATTTGGTTTATGAGATTCTTAGATTTTTTTTGTATTTCTAAATATGCAAAATGTAATTACTAACACTGATTTATGCGTGATTAAGGGAGAATTAACTTTGTTGAGCTCGAACAAATGTGTTATTTTCTCTTTCATTTTCATGCTCCCAGAGTTCCAAACAGGCCCTTAGTCTTACCAATTCATTCTTCGTACTTGAGACACATTTATATAATGATTTTGGGATATATGTGTAACTCCTAGTTCCTTGTTACAGTTTGCTCGTCTATATCCATTGGATCAGAAGGACATGGCTCCTGCTTTACGTCCGATTGACTTTGGTGTGCCAATCCCATCAAAGGTTGAAGTTGAGACATCAGCTCGGGATTATACACCGCCTGAGTATCTTACCCTTCTATTCACAGATTTAGGTGTCCTAACACCATCTGCAGTAAGTGATGAGCTCATACAGCTTTACCTATAAATAAATAATCTTGTGGGCAGAGGATTAAATATGTAGTCTGGAGTGACATTGCACAACCATGTTTGTTTTTGTTATCTCCTCAACATGAAGAATTATGACCTTTTTGCTCATTGGCACATTTTAAAATAGAATTCTACTAATGTGTGCACTACTTTTTCCTTTGCGAAATTTTGAACCATGGAATCAAGAAATCATTATTATGGGCTCAGATAAAGTCTCTTCCCATGTCTGTATTCCCTTAACAGCCTCAAAGGCTCAAATTATGATAATTGAGAGAAAAAGCCAAATTTTAACTTTCCAGTTTAAAGCCATGTATTCATAATGTCAATCCGCATCATCATTCCCTGAAATCTTTTGGGAGCAAAGCTTGGACGTTGTTGCATTCATAATGTCAATCTGGATATTTTGCTTTTTTGGGAGTTGGTAATACTTTTCACTATTTCATCATTTGTTGGCTAAAGCCTAAAACTAGTAAGACATCATTATCCCTGTATAAAGAACTTCATCTTTATATTTTCAAAACCAAGTATTCCATTCATTATTTAGAACCCACATTTCAGTGTAAACTATTAATTTCAGGCATTTTTTTGTTATTATTTCACATGAGGTTGAAAGAATTAAGGGTGTTTGTACAGATATTTAAAGGTTTTGATTAAAGGAAAAAAAAAAGAGCGGAGAAATGAGAATAACCTATAGAAAGAAGTGTGGGGCTGGCCGGGCTTTTCACCAGGGGTGGACTCGGGTCGGGAGGCCCGCCCCGGAACCGGCCCGACCCGGTCAGTGTTTGAACCGGACCGAACCGCCAGCCCGGCCAGGGACCGGTCCGGGTAGGCCCGACCCGCTGGGGTTCCGGGCCGGGCTCGGGCCCCTCAGAAGGTGAACCGGCCCGGCCGGTTCGGGCCCGGTCCGGGTCAATTCATTTATTTTTTTCTTTTTTTTTTGAAATTTTTTTTAAGTTTTTTGGATTGGGCTGGGTATTTTGGGCTATTTGAGGTGGTTTGGGGTTAGTCATGGACCCGGGCCGGGCCCGGCCGGGCTTTTTTTTGGGAAGGAAGGCCCGGGACCGGCCCGGGTAGCCACCGGGTCCGGGACGGGCTTCTGGTTTGGTCAATTTTTTTTTTTTTTTTCGCTTTCCTAACCCCCCAAACCCCTCCTAACCATCAAGCCCAACCCGGGTAACCCCAAAAATAAAAAAAATTAATTCGGTCGGGCCGGTTTGCCAAATACAAGGCCCAAGCCCGGACCCGCCCCCCCACCGGGCACAGTAGCGGGCCGGGCCAGTCCCGGGGGCCCGAACCGGGTCCATGACTGTTTGGGGTGGTTTGGGGGTGAGGGTTGGGGGTTAATTAGGAAAAGCCAAAAAAAAATTAAATAGAACCGAGGCCCGGCCCGGACCCGGGGGGTTATCTGGGCCAGTTCCGGGCCTCCCCTTTCATGAACCGAGGCCCGTCCGGGTCCAGGCCTGAACCGACCCCGAGTCCATCCATACTTTTCACCATATTTTACCCATAAGGGGTGTTTGGTTCTTTACTCATTAAAACTTTATGTGTAAACCGATTACATGTAAACTGTGGGCACGTGATCATTTTACATGTAAAATATAAATACATTATTTGGTGAGATATATCATCCATTTTTAAAGTAGATGCAAAGTAAATCACACAGAGTAACTTTTAATGCCTGGATTGAATTAGGGATGCAATCCGGCCAATCCCTAATCTGCCGATGTTTGTTATTACTACCTATCCAATGGAATTAGAGATGCAATCCGGCCAATCCTATGTTGGATATTATTCCTCTACCTCCTCTGTATGAAATATGGTGATATATATCTATATTAACCGTCCTAGACAGTTGCAACACGTTTGAGAAACCGCAACAGTTTTTGGGAAACTGCTGGAAACTGTCCAACTGTTCTAGAACTCAGTCTAGAACCACAGAGCCGGTCTACTGAAAGTTATACCTCGAGTTCTACCTCGAGTTCCACTAACGTAGACACTTTGGAATTAAACTAGTTCTTATATACAAGTGTGCACTCCACACCTACTAACTTGTATTAGATCATAGTTCCAATTCCCAATTCCTATTGGCACTCATGTCATTTCCAATTACACAAAACGGCCGGTGATACTAAGGCTTTGTTTGCAAACAATTAATTTAAGTGCTTTTGGCTTTTTTTTGAAGAAAAAAGTACTTATTTTACAAAACAATACCAACTTTTACTTTCTCGGTTTTCGTGTAGAATCTACTTTTTACTTTTTCTATTACACAAAAAGCACTTAATTTACTAAACACTACCAACTTTTACTACTAATCACTTTTTCCCAAAAAGTGCTTTTATTTAAGCACAATCACTTGCAAACAGAGCCTAAAATCACCAACAATATTACCCAATACTGATGGAGAATATAGAATTGTGTAACAAGTCCCCTACTAATCCCACTATCTCATATAAAAAATTTGACTGCCTTGAACAAAAAAAGTACACCCAATGTCACACATCATTATAAACAAAAAGTTCTCTTACTGCATCTTGTAGTGTCAATGTGGTTTCTCTATGACTTTGCTTCTGTGAACGTTCTGAAAATGCTTACTTGCCATCCATCTCATAATTTTATATCTTTTAAATGCATTTTTTTTTATATCTTTTTACATTTGTCATTTTGGCCGGTTTCTGTGCATGTGTAGAAAGCAAGTTTGGTTTTCCAAAATATGTAATTTCCTGTTTACTTTCTGAAAATGTGGAACTATGAGTTATGCGTTTGAGCCAGACCTTGTAATATGATCTGTTTATTCTGTCTACTTCTCAAACCTATCGCTGGAATCCGTTTGGCCTTATTTGAACTGAATTGCTCAACTTATTAGTAGGATCTTTTTGTTTTTTTTGGTTAAAAATAACTTTATCCATAAAATAAGAAAATTACAGTGCGAAAAGATAAATAAAGGAAAAAAAAAACATAAAAGAAATGAAAAGTAAAGACAAAAACTACACCCAAGGGAAGTCTCTGGCTTGTGATCTGGTCGTCATCAGTGGCGGATCTAGGCATCGGAGCTCAGTGTATGCACATATATAACACTTATAGTATATTACATGAATTAAACAATGCTAAATAAAATATACAGATATAGTAAAAGAAAAGGTACCTTTTAACAATAATATTAAGGAAAAATTGATAAGAATAATCCCACCTTTCACTATTCTTCTCATAATAATCCCACCTTTACATAATCCCAAAATAGTCTCACCTTTGCACTTAATCTTCTTTCATTGGACCCTTTTATGAAAATCTTATATAAATAATCTCACCTTTGTAGGTCATCCAATAGGTCAGGGTCCAATGAAAGAAGATGAGGTGCAAAGGTGAGATTATTATTGGATTACGTAATGGTGGGATTATTATGAGAAGACCAGTGAAATGTGAGATTATTCTTGTCAATTTTTCCTAATATTAATTAGGCTTTAATAATTTAAGAAAAAATAAATGAATAAAACCTTGAGAAGTTGAGTGAATGTGAAAAATGACACGATTATTAAGACAAAATAAACATACTAATTTAATTATCCACAGATAATACATACTTACTCTGTCCCATTTAAAGGTTCTCGTGTCAAAATGACACAATCATTAAGACAATAATTAAATATACTAATTTGAGTATACTTTGAGAAATAATTTTGATGAGTATATAATATAATGAGTTATTGATGATAATTGTGATTTTATATTAGAAAAAAATACTCTGTAGTATTTGATGATTAAATTGTCATTTATGAGTGTTAATTATTTTCTAAAATAGAAAGTGAGAACGTTTAAGTGGGACTTTCAAAAAAGGAAAATAGAAACCTTTAAATTGGATGGAGTATTTAAACAAATAGATTGATTGTTTTTTGTCAATAGCAGTAATAATTTCGAACAATAAATTAATTATAAAAATAATTACTAACTATTAGAGAAATAAAAAAACCTGATATAGAGCTAAGGTCTAAGCCTCTAACGGTGTCAAAAGCCATTCGCCAGAAGACACGTATTGTTTTGGAAGAAGAAAGGGAATAGAGTCTAGAGATTTTGAAATGGGTGTAAATGGCATCTGTTTTGATTGTAAAATTATTAATTACTCATGTACTACGTAGGGCTGGGACTTTGGAACCAAGAACCGGAGAACCGAACCGGACCGAACCGTTATGACCCGGTTCGGTTCGGTTCCAACATTTATTAGTTATTTTTTAACGGTTCGGTTCCTATTTTTTATTAATGGTTCGGTTCTCGGTTCCTGAAAAAAATATGTACTAGGAACCGTTAAGGAACCGTTATATATAATAATTAAAATTATATATATTTCTTATGAGCATATATATTTTAATGTATATTTACTTACTTATTTTTATATTACATTCATTATTTTTGTTTAGTTATTCAACTATTTAAAACTATTATTCACTTCAACCGGTTCTCTTAGGCTTCTTAGGCCTCTCATTAGGTCCAAACTCCAGTGGGTCGGAACTTTGAGGCTCCAAGTATTTAAAATTATTATTCTCTTTAACTGTTTAAGCATATTTGTATCGTAATTTCAAACGTAGAATGTCTTTTTGGCAAAAATTTAGTCATGATTTGTAAGAATTTTTTCGGAGACTAGGAACCGTTAAATGACAAGAACCGAACCGTTAAGAACGGTTCGGTTCCTTATCGATTCTATAAAATAATTTATAAGAACCGAACCGTTAGTAAAATTTCATATTTTCAAACGGTTCCACATATTTGGCCTAGGAACCGAACCGGTCCCAGGCCTAGTACTACGTATCACTTACGGTCTAGTCAACTGAACAAACGAAAAATAAAAGGCCCGCTCGCACGGCCCAAATGCTAAACCTGCCAACTGAGAAGTTTAAAAAAAAAGGGTGTAGCCTTGGAGGGATTCGAACCAATGACCTAAAGCCTAATGGAGCATCAAATTTTTACACTAGTACCAGATAGGCTGGTGGCACAATTTGAGGTGAAACCAATGCTTACGCTAGTTATACTATAGGTCCGCCCCTGGTCGTCATACTATGCCGCCTTTTATACTTATTAGTAGGATCTATACGACCATATTTAATTGCCCTAATTATATGGCCCAAACTGTTTGCACAATAGTGATTTATTATATCCTAAACAAATTGGCAAACTGTTTTATATTAAGGGAGATTATCTCATGCATATGGCTAAAATGCTGGACATGAAAATACTTAAAATTAAGCATTTGAAATTTGTATACTTTACATTGATTGTGAAAAGGATTAATGGCAGAAACAATATCATAAACTTTTGACTAGATAAAAACAGGATCAAGTCTTAAGTTGGACAAAAAGAGATCAAATCCTACTAAATGGATTGGAAATGCCCTTAATATACCGAGACTCTCCCGCTCCCTTCTTGCACTTGATCTCCTCTCTCCTTTCTGTATATTACTTCAATTCTTAGTAATATGAATGTCAAAACCTCTTGTCAACGTGCTAATAGTTTGGACAAAAAGAAACAGAAATAACAAAGAAATGTGCATTATTATTTTAGGAAAACAATATGGCGGTTCACAATCATTAACTAAGGACATAAAAATATTTGGAACCTCTTATGTTTAGAGATGTTCCACAAATTACAAGCATATATTGTTCAACGGAAATATAGTTTGTTTTAGTAAATAAAGAGCCACATAGAATCAAATATTCATTTCAAGTTGCAAGTACCATATACAATACATAAAAACATATAAACGAGAAGAGAATATGCTACATCACTATGTCACATCTACATCTAGGGGGTGAGATTTTGGAACAGAAAACCGTGGAACCGATTGGAACCGAACCGTTAACAACATCTAGGAACCGCACCGTTAACAATTAATGTCTCATTTGTAGGAACCGAACTGAAGCGGGTTATAACGGTTCGGTTCCCGGTTCCTATAAAAAATATGTGCATGGAACCGTTAAGGAACCGTTATTAAAAAAATAAAAAATAAAATAATATTAGTAGTAGTAATAGTAGTAACAATAATACTCCCTCCGTTCTTTTTTAGTTGCAACACTTTCCTTTTTGGAAAGTTTCAAAATAATTGCAACATTACTCTTTTTGGTAAAAAGAAATACCTATAATGACTTTAATATCCCTGCTCAAAACTCATTTGTTTCTCCTACCTAATTCACACCTGCCATTTTTTAATCAACCCTATCCCACTTTACATTTCTCTTTCCTAATCTTCAAGAACATCAACTCTTTTCCCATCTCATCTTCTTCCCTATTTTATTTTCTTCTTATCACGCTCTTCACATTGTTTTTTATTTTCCGGCCATATGGAGACGAAGCAAATTAAATCTGCAAACCAATGGTGAACAGTAAAACCTCCCAATCTATACCAGTGGTTTGAGGCTTCCCGATGACCATGTCCTCCGGCAAAGGGTTGGGTAGATGCGACCGAAGATGGTGCACCCCAAACCGCTCTTGGAATCCAGAAACAATCGTTCGATTCAAAACACTAACCGGAAATCGTCTTTGGCATGAACAGTAAACATCGCGACTCCTTAACTCGTTTTTGGAGTTTCTGGGCTCTAATTCAAGTGTTTTAATTGAACAGGGATCCACTAATGCTCTGCCAAAATCCTGCACTTCCAAATTACCTGCGGGATTGGTAAAATTTAACAGCTAAATCAGATTAGTTTAGGTTTAGAAGTTCACACAAATGGAGGAGTGAAAAAGAAAGTCATTTTTTGTGTCGGACTAGAAACACCAAGAACACACACAAATCAACCATTTCAAGCTATGCTTCGGTGGAAAAGATTCACGAGAACGGTTCCAGGGAGAGCAGCTAGATTAACGCGTGAAAAATTAGGCCTCCATACATGTTCTATTATTACTCCGCATCTCCGCTTTATCCAACTCACGAGGAGAAAATAGGAAAGTCACAAGTTTCTTAATTAGTGTGCCCACTCTCTATGTTGCATCTAAATAAAAACGGAGGATAATAATATAATAGCAATAATAACCACCACCACAACAACAATAATAAAACAATATAAGATATTTAACTAACAATTCTAATTTAATCAACAGAAAAGAAGTAATAAATATTGTACATGAGGTTGATATATACATTAAACTCCTTTCTACAAATCAAGTTTTGTTCCATCATATAAATTTTATAAATATAAAATAACTCAAATAACTTGTAGTTGATTGCACATATTTTACTTTACTATTTTTATAATAATTTCTAATTATTAGATTTATTATGAATCAATAGAATGTGATAATATTTTTTTATATCTATACATGCAAACTCAATGTCTTTTTTGTAATGTTTTGAAAGACTTGAAGTAGACGTCCTATTCTTGCTACTATGATGACGAGTAACCTTCATCGCTCCAACACTACAACGATTTTTAATGTTTCATTTATTACATAAAATTTAAATCACTTTTGTTCTATTAAGTGTTCAAAGTTCATTAGTTAAGTTTGAGCTTTAATGTTTGAAGTGATTAGAGCTTCAAATAAAATTTTAATACTCGTGTTTTGAATTTTCGACGTGTTTAAAATTATGTGTTAATTCTTAGACGAGAAAAAATTATTCTAGGAACCGGTAAAAGGAAGAACCGAACCGTTTACTACCGGTTCGGTTCCATAACGGTTCCTGATTTTTTATATAGGAACTGATCCGATTTCATTAGTTAAAATTTTATAACGGTTCCACTCATTTTGAGTAAGAACCGAACCGGTCTCAGCCCTGACTACATCTCTTTGTTTTTTGTGTGGCAAGATGGTGAACCCCATGCTACACCATTTACTTTCATTTTTGTGGCATAATAATATTTTCAAAATAGGTTTTATGTAGTTATTTAATCGATATGCCTCTCACACAGGAGCAACTACCCTCACTTTGTAGTAGTGCAAAATGGGAACCACTTTCTTATGGTAATCGCACTCCATATGTTTTCCTTCTAATCTTTGTTACTTGTGCCTCAAAAAGGTCTACACTGACGGTGGCATTTCAATTCATCTAACCCAAAGGAAAAAGAGTAGCAAGTCATCAAATAAATACAAAGTTGGCCATTTGAGATGTTATGTTTAATCCGCAAATTTGAGCAGTGCTTATTATACCATGCAACCGTCCCACCATGAGCATCATACTCCCACTCACAAAACGATGCAGTTTTGGACAACTTAAAAAAAACGCGTGAACAGTACACGCGTTTACAATAACTTTTTTTTGTCCCAGTAACATGAATGATGTAACTTGCGTGTAAAGACATGTAACTCGCGTTATTGATTAATGTAACTCAAGCTCATCCAAAATGTAACTTCTCAAATATTGATTTCAATGTAAACAATGAAAAAAGAGATTCTAATTGCACAATTGCTTTAGGTAAAACGTGAATATGTTTTGTTTTTAATATCATGACCATAAAAAATAATAATTTTTTAGAACAAATCATTTTTTTCAATAGCAGGGGTTGGTTTTTAATGTAACTCGTGGTATTACAAATGTAACTCGCGTTGATGTCAAATGTAACTTGGGCGTATACAGAATGTAACTTGTTGAAAAATTGAACGATGATTTTTTGTGTGTTTGAGATATTATAAACATTGATTTCAATGTAAACAATGAAAAATTGATCCTAATAGCTTAATTACTTTTTTTTATAAATAGTGAATATGTTTTATTTTTAATATTAGGGAAATAAAATGATATAGCTCGAGTTTATTTTGTGGTGTAACTCGCATACATTAAGATGTAATTCACATATATTCAGATGTAACTCGGGTACACTAAGATGTAACACTTCAAAATCCCTATTTTTTTCACCATCTCAATTTCATCTTCATCAATGGCCTCTGCATCAAAATGTTTCTGCATCCTTGGCTATTCCATCAACAAAATCTGAAACATCCATGTACCTGACTTGATTCCCATCTCTATCCCTTTTACCCCATCCTTGTGGGCTTGTGGCGTTGTCTAGGAGGACTGTTGTGGTGGCGATTCCTGCTGCGGTGGTAACGATCAGGGGAGCGCGAATTAGAAGTAGAAGAATGACGGAAACGATGGCGGTCATTGACGGAAAAGAAGGGATGGAAGATGGAACTGTAGAGCCTTCGTTGTTTATGGCCGCTGCTATGTACATTTAGTTTGCATCTAATTTTTTAAAATAAGCAAAACGGTACCGTATTTGGACCGGCATACCATGCGCATGGTATGCCGGTCATACGGTATAATTTGCGAAATTTGAGAAATGTCTACAAATATAATTACTCTCAAACATTTTAAGATTATTGTAACTGATTTTGTAATGTGGAGCAACAATCTACATTTTCTAAACACTAGTCATTTGGGTAAAATAGAAAACTAATCTCAACAAGTCACACACATGACATACACTATAGAATATAAGTCAATTGAACTAACTATGTTTATTGAACTATGAGTTGGGCCTTAGCAATGAGAATGTTAATAATTGTAGTAAGAACAACCATTAATAATTCTTTATTCTAGAAGTCTCATGGACTAAAACCTATACTAGTTATATATTTTTTTTCCTGTAAAGATAAGAATCATTGGGAAATCTTATTTAAAAATGTGGACATCATTTGACCTGAGTCATATAATCTCATTAACCAAATCGTATGCACACATCCTTTCATACTCGATATACTATCATCAAGCAAATTTATTTACGTATAACACGTTTAGGAAAAAGAACACATCGACCTTGATACGCTTTACAAGTTTAGTAAATGATCATTTTCACCATATGAAACTGCATCAACTAAAAGAGTTTTTACCACTTTAGTTCTCCCATTATTATGTTAGTGAGTCGTGACACTCTTGATACTCGATTTTGAATCCACTTTTAGTCCTAAAACTATGGTACAAAAGACAATTTTAATACTTGTCTTTAAAAAATTCATATTTAGTCCCCGGCTTTCATTAAAGTGACATTTTTTATCATTCAACTATTATCACTTAGACATTTTTAGTCTTTCATATATTGTGCCAAAATTATAAGGAAAGGGCTAAAAGTTTCAATTTGAGAATGCTCAGGGAGTCAGGGGACTAAATGAGGAAAAATTTGAAGTCGAGAACTAAAATTGTCTCTCGCATTAATTGAAAGACTGAAAATGAAAAAATTAAAAGTCGAGTACTAAAGGGTCATTAACAAAATAGTCAAGGAAGTAAAGTGGCAAAAACTCATTAAAAAAGCTTGTATCAACTATACATAATGAACAACCAAACATTCCAGCCCAGTTGGTTGTGAGGTTACCGTGCCTAGTAGGAGATCTCGAGTTCGAAACCCGCTAGGTACATAACGATTTGAAACTCAATGAAGTGAGTTTCAACTCATATTACTCTAGGCCCCCAGCCCCCAGACCCAGTGGAGTAAAAAAAAACTAGAACATCGTAGAACAAGTAAATCATCATCTTTAATTTATAGAGATTCGGGAAGATAAATCTCTGTCCTTAAAAGGAAGAAGACAAATAGCTATGACAATACTAAAATGGGTGCACAAATTCATTTTTTTTTTTTGAAAATGTATTGGAAATCTCAATATCTCCTGAAAAGGGCCGCAAAGTTATAAAGGTGTTCCAGAGTGTTTTCTATTGCTTACTTAGCTTTTGAGCTTTTTGCTTAAAAAAACTTGAAAGGAATGTTTTCAAATGACAGTTTCTGCTTAAATTAATTACTTAAAAGCTAAAAGCTGGAAGCAGGTGGAAGGATGCTTTAAACTGCTTTTCACTTTTCATATTACACAAAAAGCACTTATTTTACCAAACACTACCAATTTTTACTTTTTCAGAATCACCTTTTTCTCAAACACTACCAACTTTTACTATTAAGTACTTTCTCCAAAATCACTTTAAAAAAATCACTTTTTTAAAGTAGAAGCAATCACAAACACTCCCTTAGTCTGATTCATTTTTTATTTGATCTTCTTTGATACTCCGTATGAATTTTTTCTAATTTACTATTATAGTATCCGTGCATACACACGGAAAAGAGCAGCTGATGCATATATTTTTACTCATTATCTAATTAAATATGAAAATAAAAACAATTTTGTATGATTTTACATTTCGAAAAATAAGAGTTCAATAAACTCAGTGGCGTATCCAGAAAAATATGTCAGAGGGGGCAAATTTACCTTAGATTAAAAAAATTACAAGATAAATCAGACTAATCAGATGAAGAAAAAAATTGTAAAACCAATTATAAATAACAAAATATTCTCTCATAAAAAACATTATGATATCAAGTTTAATTAAATTTCACTTTGTTAGAAATAATTTTATCACATGGAATATGTAATTTGTGAAAAATTATGTCAATATATAAATGAATCAACTAAGGGAAGGAGGAGCATCTAGTTAGAATTAATTTAAGCGCTACATGTTGGAGAGAAAATTCTCCCCCTCAATTGTTAGCTAGACTATCTTATATACTTAAAAAGAACTACATATGAGAGACAAAGTTCTCTCGCTCAATTATTAACAAACTTATCTTTTTATTTATACCTAAAACTCTTACATATAAGAGAGAAGGTCTTCTCACTCAACCGTTAGCCGGCTTACGCTATACTTAAAAGCACTACATATGAGGGAATTATTCCCTCATATGAACGAGAGCTTAAACATTAGGTATAAATGAAAGTGATAGCTTAAACATTAGGTAAAAAAAAATTTCCCCTACAAAGCCAATGTTTGATTTGTTTAAGAATCTACCAGATAAGATACAAACAAATTGGATAGAACAGATCATATGCTTATGTCTAGTTTGGTATATTCTTGAAAAGATTAATACGGGTAGATTTTAATAGATTTTATGTTATATTTTTATATAGGATTATTAGCCTATTTTGGATGTTTTCTTTTGGACTGTTTTCAGTCCCAGACCAGACC